CCCAGTAGCTCCCAGTAGCTCCCAGTAAGCCCCAGTTTCCCCCCAGGCCACCCGTTCATCATGACCGTGGGCTGCGTGGCCGGGGACGAGGAATCCTACGAGGTTTTCAAGGAACTTTTCGACCCCGTGATCCAGGACAGGCACGGGGGCTACAAACCCACGGACAAGCACAAAACCGACCTCAACCACGAGAACCTCAAGGTCAGGGGGGTCCCCCAAAATTTGGGAGGGGTCCCCGAAATCTTAGAGGGGTCCCTGAAATTTTTGGGGGGTTCCCGGGATTTTTTGGGGGTTCCCAAAGGGATTTAAAGGGCAGGGAAGGGGTGACAGGAACGCTCTGGGGTGACCCCAAGGAACCTGAAAGTCAAGGTCAGGGGGGTCCCCGAAAATTTGGGGGGGTCCCCGAAATCTTAGAGGGGTCCCTGAAATTTTTGGGGAGGTCCTCAAAGGGTTCAAGGGTGACAGGAACACCCTGGGGTGACCCCAGTGACCTCAACCATGAGAAAATTGAGATTTTTGGGGTCATTTTAGGGGAGATTTTGGGGTCATTTTAGGGGGGATTTTTCTCAGAATTCCCGGATTTTTTTGGGGTGAATTCGGGGATTTTTGGGGTGTCTCAGAGCCGATTTTTTGGGGGGTTCAGGGGGGCGAGGACCCGGACCCCAAGTACGTTCTGAGCACATCTCAGAGTGGGGAATTTTGGGGCGATTTCGGGGCGATTTTGGGGCATTTCTCCAGGATTTCGGGCAGGATTTTTCTCACAATTCCGGGATTTTTTTGGGGTGAATTCCTGGATTTTTGGGGTATCTCAGATCCGATTTTTTTGGGGTTCAGGGGGGCGAGGACCCAAACCCCAAGTACGTTCTGAGCACATCTCGGAGTGGGGAATTTTGGGGCGATTTCGGGGCGATTTTGAGGCGATTTTGGGGCATTTCTCCAGGATTTCGGGGGCGATTTCGGGCAGGATTTTTCTCAGAATTCCGGGATTTTTGGGGTGAATTCGGGGATTTTTGGGGTATCTCAGAGCCGATTTTTTGGGGGTTCAGGGGGGCGAGGACCTGGACCCCAAGTACGTTCTGAGCAGCCGAGTCCGCACCGGCCGCAGCATCAAGGGCTACTCGCTGCCCCCCCACTGCAGCCGCGGCGAGCGCCGCGCCATCGAGAAACTCTCGGTGACAGGTGAGGGCGTGGCCGGAAGTGACGCGGTTCGAGTGGGTGTGGCCGGAAGTGACTGGGTTTTTTGAATGGGTGTGGCCTAAGAGGGTGGGGTTGCCTGGGATTGGTTGGGTTTGGGTTGGGTGTGGTCGGAGAAAATGGGCGGGGTGTGGTCAGGAAAGTGGGTGGGGCTTGGGTGGGCGTGGCCAGGTGCGCGCCCAGGTGAGTTTAGGGTGGATTTGTGACAGAATTTTGTGGATTTTTGTTGGATTTGGGATGGATTAGCCTATCCAGTCTACCTTAGGCCTGGCCTAGGTGTGCCCAGCCTGGCTTGGGCGTGCCCAGGTGCGTGCCCAGGTGAGTTTAGGGTCGATTTTTGTGGATTTTTGTGGATTTTTACTGGATTTGGGGTGGATGGTTCTGCCCAGTCTACCTTAGGCCTGGCCTAGGTGTGCCCAGCCTGGCTTGGGCGTGCCCAGGTGCGTGCCCAGGTGACTTTAGGATGGGTTTAGGGTGGATTTCAGTGGATTTGTGACAGAATTTTGTGGATTTTTGCTGGATTTGAGATCAATGGGTGTGCCCAGTCTACCTTAGGCCTGGCCTAGGTGTACCCAGCCAGGCCTGGGCGTGGCCTGGGCGTGCCCAGGTGCTGACCACGCCCCTGGGGCAGCCCTGAACAGCCTGGACGGCGAGTTCAAGGGCAAGTACTACCCGCTGAAGGCCATGACGGAGCAGGAGCAGCAGCAGCTCATCGATGACCACTTCCTGTTCGACAAGCCCGTGTCCCCCCTGCTGCTGGCATCGGGCATGGCCCGCGACTGGCCCGACGCCCGCGGCATCTGGTGGGCACCTGGGGGCACCTGGG